CCACCTCTGCAGCTTGTGCCTGCCGTGCCGGATCCTGCAAAAGATCTTTAAATATTTGCATTTTATTACGATCATAGTAGGGTTTTATTTGATCAATGTTTTCGGAGCATGTTTCACCATTCCTGGCTTTTAACACCACTACAGCGTGAGTTATTTTTTCTATGACATATGGTCCTTCAAATCGTGGAAAAAATTTGGCAGTTTTATCTTCTGGTGCTGAAGAAAGTGAATGCTTAATTTTTAATACTTCATCTCCCTACTTTATAAGTTACTCCCCGTCGTTTCAAATCATAATAAGCTTCTGTTTTCTCTGTGCTACTTCAGTATTCTTTTTTGCTTCTTTAATTAATTTTTCTATATCACCCATTTTAAATTCTGGGGCTCTTTGTTGCACATAAAAAATAATTTATCTAACGGCGTTATAATCTTTCTGCCTAAAAATAACTCAGCAGGAGTTTTGCCCGTTGTATCATGTTTTGCGGTCCTAAGGGCGAAAGCAAATTCATTGACATAGTTATCCCAGCTTTTATGAAAATTTTTAACATAACTACGGATAATTTTCACTATATTTCTATTGACCCGTTCCGCTATATTTGATTGCGGCCGATACGGGACCATTTTTAAATGACGTATGCCCAGTTTTTGGCACATGTCTTCAAATATATTACTTACAAATTGAGGACCATTATCCGATATAACTTTTAGGGGCGCCCCGTATTTTAAAATATATTTATTTAAAATAGAATCAGTAACTAATTTCGCGGAGGCTCGTTTTAAGGGAACAATTTCGGTCCACTTACTAAAATGATCAACCATAACAAGGAGATAGCGACTTTTATTTAACTGACTTTTTGGGAAAGGGCCCAATAAATCGATGCCAATTATTTCATTTGGAAATTCGGATTTAATACTATTTAGAAACCCGGCCGGGCGGAAATTAATATAATTAACTGCTTGACATGTTGGGCAGGACTGGACATACGCCCTTGTTAACTTTTGCAGTTCAGGAAAATAGACTGCCTCGCGTACGCGTTGGATAGTTTTTCGAATACCAGCATGAGAAGCTAAAGGGCTGTCATGGAACTCCTGCAGGATATTTAATCTAAGACTAGCTGGGATAACAGGTCGAAATTCGTTGTTGGAATTCGTAGTTTTTGTATAAAAATAATAGACCATCTATTAGTTCGTAATGGGCCGCCCTATTTCTTATCGCCACAATATCTTGGTGGCTAAAATTTTCAGGATCCTTTAAATACTCATAAATGTTTCCAAACTCAGGATCCTTACCCAGTTCGGTTATTACAGTTTCTCGGGAATTTATTGTACATGCTGTGAGCATTGCCACCTTTACAGTATTACCTTCTTCTTCATCTATTTTTATTCTGGATAGGGCATCTGCTACGATATTTTCCTTTCCGGGGGTATGCTTGATTACCAGATTATATTCTTGTAGCTTGAGTGCCCATCTTATTAACCTTGGGGATAAGTTTTTCCCTGAGTACAATCTAGTTACCGCCGCATGATCAGAATACACTGTTATTGGCGCCTTTCCAAAATAGACTCGGAACTTTTGCACTGCTAACAGAACTGCAAGTGCCTCTCTCTCGGTCGCGGAATAATTTCTTTGTGTTTGATTTAAAGTTCGGCTAAAAAATGCCACGGGCTGCTGATTTTGCGAAAGTACCGCTCCTACCGCATAATCCGAAGCATCCGCTGAAATTTCTAAATTCTCATCCTTTTCAGGAAATTTCAACACAGGGGCTTGCGTTAATGCTTGCTTTTAATTTTTCGAAAGCACTATTGGCTTCGGCCGTCCACGAGAATCTTGCCTTTTTCCTTTTTAATTTTAACAATGGTTCAGCAATAGCTGCAAAATCTTTTATAAAGGACCTATAATATGAACAAAGTCCTAGAAAAGAAGAGAGCTTCTTCGCCGTGTTTGGCGGTCGGATACTTTTGTACAGCGATTATTTTTGATTCGTCTGTCTCGATTCCTTTCTGAGATATTTTGTAACCTAAATATTTTAATTCAGGGGCTGCAAATTTGCACTTTTCGACATTAACTTTTAGACCGGCCTCATTTAATAAAGAAAACACCTGTCTTAAATCCTGTACATGTTGGTCGAGATTATCACTAGTAATAATGATATCGTCTAAATAGATAAATGTGGACTTTCCAAGAACAGGCCTTAACACAATGTCCATACATCGCTGAAATGTTGCCGGTGCCCCTGAAAGGCCAAACGGCATACGCAGGAAATGCATAAGTGCCAGACTTGGTTATAAAAGCAGTCTTAGGCACGTCCTCAGGTCCTAACCCCTATTTGAAAATAACCAGTCGTTAAGTCTAAAGTCGTCATATATTTGGTAGATGTTATGTTCCTTAGAATTTCTTCAATAATAGGTAACGGATATACCGGATATTTAGTTATGGAGTTTAATTTACGGTAGTCAATCGCGAATCGCCACCTTTTTGGATGTGTTAATGGATAGTCATTATTTTTCTTACATAAAACCACCGGGCTAGCATAACTACTTGAGATGGGCGTTATGATCTTTTTACGTAGCATATCGGTAATGTGCCATTCTATAATTTTTTCCTTATTCTTATCATACCGGTATGCTTTGTGGCGAACTGGCATTGAATCTCCGGTGTCAATACTATGGTTAGTAACTTGAGTAAATCCTGGAATATCACTAAATAACGAAGCAAGCAAATTCACTTACCACTTGTCGGATTCTTTGTTGCTCTTCATTAGGCAGGTGGTCAAGGTTTAACATCGGCGGTTCAGCCTTTTCTTCTTCTCGAACTGGTTTCATCGTCAGCTTAAGGGACGCTTCATTAAAATCCAGCGTTGCTTGTGCCTCTGAAAGAAAATCTATTCCTAAGATAATATGTGCTTGCAGATTCTTTACTATAAAAAACATAACCTTTACTTGTTCGTCCTTGATACGGACGTATAGCGGTAATTTACCTATGCACTTACATCTTTCTCCTTGCGCAGCTAACACTGTCGTATTATCCGAATTATATATGCGATATTTACGAAAATACTTCCTAAAAAAATCTTCTGCCACACAGGAACACTGCGCGCCTGTATCCAGGAGTGCGGTGGCTGGGATATTATTCACCAACACTTCAATCTTCGGAAGAGTCAAATTTTTCACCATTACTGTATTTAACTTGAAGGAAGAGGGGTTTTCTTGGCCTTCGGATTTCCGCACCCTCCCGTCAGCAGAAATCCGTTTTAGTTTAAATCTTTTTTTTTTCCATGCTTTCCTTCTTTTTCCACTGGCCTTGAGACTTTTTTCCTGGATTGCTATTGAACTGTCGACGTTCGCCGGCTGTTTTTTGGAATGCTCGGGTTTCCTTGCCCACTGATTCGCTTTGCTTCCGTAGCCGTGTGCTTGACTTTGCTGTAGGTCTTGGCGCACCAAATTGGTTTCGTTGTTGATATTGGCGTCTTCTTTCAATGTCCGCCGTTCTTCTACTTTCAAACTGGATTGCTAGCTCAAATAACTTTTCCAGTGTAGTCGGATTCCTTAATTCAATAAAGTCTTGCACTTGGGGAAGTAACCTCGGCAAAATCACTTGAATTATCTCAGGATCCGGACGGTTTCCATACAAGAGTTTGAAGACGTGAATTTTTCTTAAAATAAAGCTTGAGAGATTTTCGATTCTTTGCTGATATATGCTGAAAAGTTCCGTTTCTAATTTCGCACGATCCCTTACGACAGGGAAGGCTTTTACTAGGGCAGTCTTGAAATTTTCGTAAGTATAGGTGGGACTTCCTGCTTGACCCAAGAGACTTCTGCCTATACATTTGAACCAATTAAGCGCTTGGCCCCTCAAAGCGCTGGTAGCTAAGGTAACTTTTGGAAACTCGTGCACGGGGTAGAGCATGAAGTGGTCATCCAATTTTTCCAAAAAACTGGTTACCGGTGAGTTTCCATTAAATGTTGCTTCTGGTTTCATCGAAGCGCGCATGGTCTGGACGATGTAACCAAATCCTTCCAGGGCGGCAGCTGGCATTTCTGGATTCTGAGCCGCTTCTGCAGGCAGCACAGGTTCTTCTTGAAACTCGGCCATGGTTATTCTTCTTCGTTGGGCGCCACTATCAGGTTCAATGTTCCGTCTTACTTTCTTTGGGAACATGCAAGGACCTGACTCGGAACAGGGAGCTTACTAAAGCTATGTTCAATAAATGTGGGAAGTAGACAAGGATACACAGGAAGGGTATACGAAAACCCTTTATTTTTCTCTCTTTACAATAATTTCCGTACTTCGGAATACAGAGACCAACCACTTGTGGTCTGAACGTAAGAATATAAAAATATTAACTAAACTCTAACTAAACTAACTTTGGAATAATAAACAAGTGGCCTACGTGAAGATTGGCCGTATATTAACAGGAAGCCGTATGTAGTACAGAGAACTGTTAACACTACAATACGTTTAAAAATTATCAAGAGGATTAAACCTCTGGCCTGGAAGGCAACCAGCAACCGAGTAAAACTTCTAAGGCAAGCGGCCTGCTTCGACTAACTCCTTCCTCTCTCTCGCTTGGCAAAAAGCCACAACTTAAGTACTTGGCGTTCGCCAGACAAATTTGCATAAATAAGTTAAAGCTTTTAATTCTGGCCGGAAGTAGAAAATAAGAAGTGATAGTAAAGATTTAAAATAAAATAAACGTTAGTAAAACTTAAGATCCTTACAAGTTCCATTTTTTCGCAAATCATTATCTTTCACAAGAACATAAATTAAAATGAATATTATAATATTGAAACTTTTTTATGCCAAGTTCTGTGCATTGGTGACTAATTAGCTTCATATTCATGCATCTGATTCGAACAGTTTAAAGCGAGATAGATTCTTCAGGGTTATTATCATCATCATCATTATAATTATTATTATTAAATACTTTATCTGTGTTGATTTTATGATAAATAATACGTATCATACTCCATATTATTTTTCTTTTCCAACTCTTATCTTCCAGGTGGTATATTTCACGATTGTGCAGTGCACGATATCGATTACATATGTTGGCTGCTCGGTGAATATCCAGAGAATGTCTCAGCCTTTGCGCACGCCAATTACGATGATGTAAGAGAATTAGGTGATTACGACACAGTAAGCATCATGATGAAATTCTCCAGTGGAACTCTTTCTGTCACTGATCTCAGCAGATGTGCAGTTTATGGTTATGATCAAAGAGTAGAAGTAAGTGTAACATTCCTCATTGAACAGTATGGTCTTATGTTAATGTTTTTGTTTTAGAAATTACATCCAGGGTCTTTTCAAGCTTATTTTACTGCGTATGGAATATAAAAGCTTGGGCAGAGAAATCTTATCTGTAGAGATTGTATTTGACAAAGACTGCAGATATTCTATAAAATGATACATACAAACAAAAAGAACTGAAAAAACATGACGAGCGATCAGTATAGTACTATCAGGAGTACAGCACAAGATCGGCAGTCCATGTAGGATTTAAAACCTCTCTGCCGACAGACGATCGACGCGGCATCAACTCGAAAACAAGCTTCGATCTTATTCCGGTTGAGTTCTGTGCAGGTATCCTAAAATTATAATTTAAGGAAATTCTTATCTTGATTATACGCCATTGTTAATAAGCCTTATATGCTACGCCAATGTCGATTCTGCGCGGCTGTCAATTCTATAGAAGGCGGGTCTTGTAATAACTTACTCAATATTCCATACGCGGCGTCGGTGGATCTTGATATGTTATGATATCAAATAAAGACACTTTACTTTAACTAAAGCTATTTATGAATCAAAGACTATACAAGTATTATATACAGATTACAGGTGACAGGTGAGAGCAGAGTCCGGACACCCGGGCGGCTTTCACTGACTATTCGGGCATCGTCCGAATCCCGCAACTGTCCAGAAAAAGAATATTGCAAACAGGGGCAGATGGAGGAAAACAGGGGTATTGCGGATTCCTACAATAACAGTGCTTATTTATACAATAAAAAGATACTTGCATCAAAAAGTGCTGTTACTATGTATACAGATTACAGGATATCTAGTTTCTACCACTCTCATCAATCTCTCAACTCTCTCTGGCGAAAACTTTTAATTAGCTACACATACGGGGGGTGCAGCGCCCTCTATCTCTTTTTTCTACATCACTCCCCGCCTGTAATCTTTAATATAAGTATACCAACTTACTTACATAACAATATTAATATTAATTAATAATGGATTAATACTTAGTACGACATATATAAATGAATAATGTAAAAGAATAAGCTGTACTAGTATATATCATAACCATAAATGAACATAATAATTAAAAATATAATAATAAAAACTCAATAATATCAAAAGTTCTAAATCAAGTCTCGAAAGGATATAAACATCTGGATCGATCTTCGGAATTATCCTTTGGGTGTGCGAACGAGGCACGCTCGAACATGTCCATCTCTTCCTATAATCACGTTTTCAATTACACCCATGTCCCAAAGTAGTTTGGATTGCTTTGGTCCTTCTGCCAATACAGCATCTCCAGTCTTAAGGTTCCGCTTAGTTTTAGGATTTGGCCCACCAGCGGGCCGAGCGGTAAAATCGTTGAACACTGGTAGTTCGGTCCGAGGTTCGAATTCCGCGAACGGGCTGGCTGCATGGGTGTTTTCGTGGTTTTCCCCATGTGTAACGTGTATACGAGCCAATTTCCCTTAGAAAGTCCTCCACGAAGGCATCCCTCCCCTTAGGTAGATAGCTCTAGTGTGCTTTGCCATAATTAAATACACCAGTTTTAGGATTAGCAAAGTTATACGCATTTCTAAGATGGAGTAATTATTGCTCTTTCCACTTGATCCATGTTAATTTTAAGAGCCTAGATTGGTAAAGAGTCCTCCTAGTTAAAGTCTCTTTTTCCTGACACCTTGTTAAAAATTTCCAAGAAATGCTCGGGAAAGTTAAATGTACCACGTTCTGGCAATAAAAACTGTGAGGGTGTGAGCGGGCGAGGTTCACACAGCTCGTTGCTCTCGTACGTTAAAGGTCTATTATTTAACACACACTCGAGTTCAGTTAATATTGTAGAGAGCTTCAAGAAATTCTATGAATTCCAAGAAATTCCAAGAGACTATATACACCTTTTTGTGGATATCCGCTTTTTCTCTAATAGTAACTGCTCCCGTTAAGTCGATGCCTACAACTGTGAAAGGATTACTTTGGACTACACAATCTCGGTAACTGACCCGTTAACCGTTTGACGGTCTTCACTGCGAACGTTTTACACACCAGGCAAGCGTTAATAGCTTGCTTTACTACTTGTCTTCCTTTAGATATCCAAAATTTATTCCTGACTTTGGACAATGTTGCCATAACTCCTGAATGGAATACTTTTATGTGTTCACTAAATATCACTAGTTCGGTTAACTTCGTTTTCGGCAGAACAATGGGATGCTTTTCGTCATCTAGTAATTCTGCTTGTTCCAAACGACCTCTGACACGCAAAATACCTTTATTGTCCAGATATGGTGCTAAACTGTAAAGCTTCGAATCTGGTGTTATTAGATTATTCCTCTCTAGTTCTTGAATATCCCAAAAAATAATTCTCTCTCTGGACTTGTTCTATCCAGCACTCCTCAGATTCTTGAATCTCCAATACAGTAAGAGAACCTTCTTCACAGGTACGTTTTCTTAGCTTGGCGACAAGCCGCTTTACCCAAGCTGTAACTCTCAACAATTTTTCCAGACTGCTGAATTTGGTAATGTTTAACGCAGTTTCTCCTTCTGGATCAATCACCTGAACATAAGTGCTCAAACGTTCCCAATTTTGATTATCAGTTTCTACTTAAAACTTCTCCTCAGGCCATTGATCTTCAGAATCTTTCAACCCTGATGGACCATGCCACCAGTTATTATCCTTCACCAATTCATTTGCTGTTTCACCACGAGTTAATTTATCTGCTGAGTTTTCCGACCCTGGACAATATTTCCACTTTATCCACCACAAGCAAATTTCTGAGTCCGTCCACAGAACTAACCTACCTACCAAATCCTGAAACATTTTCAATAAATATATCCCTAACCTAGCTGCAACTACAGCCCCCATCAATTCCAACCTAGGAAGGGACAACTTTTTTAACGGAGCTATCCTACTCTTCGACATTATAAATGACGTCCTCTCTCATTCTTATATCTAAAATATGCCACCGCTCCATATGCGATGCCACCGCTCCATATGCGACTACTGACGCATCACTGAAAATATGAGTTTCAACCGAATGACCTTTACTTAGAACTTCTGTAAAGTAGTACCTCTCTATTTTCAACGCGTTTAATTCCTCAATTTCAGCGCACTACTTTATACATTTGCACCGTAACTCCTTTGGCAACTCTGAATCCCACTCCAAACCTCTCTCCCATATTTCCTGCATCATTCTCTTAATTCGCACCACAAATGGAGAAATAATTCTGACTGGGTCAAACACCTTAACTGCTGTGCTTAACACCGATCTTTTACTATTCCTCAACGATTCTAAACTACTCAACAATGATGTAACGTCTGCTCTCAAACCATCCTCTTCTAAGTTCCACATCAAGCCTAACACTTTCAACTTACTATCTCTCTCAAACCTACTTTCTTCACACAACCCTTTCTGAAACCATAAGTCATACAGCTCTCTAGAATTAGTGTTTAGCTTTCTCAAATTGAAACTTGAGCCTCTCAAAACAAATACCACCTCTGATGAAGGACTGAAAGCTGACTCTACACTTTCCCCTCCATAACACAAATCGTCTGCATACAGTGAGCTATTTAACATCTCGACACAGTTTTTGTTTGTTTCCTGAGACTTAGACTCTATAATTGATGGAGCTATTGCGAAGAGCAATGTTGCCGGTTCCAGAATTAAAGCCCAAGGGCACTTGACATAAAGAAATCCGGACGTAAAGAAAATCTCGGATGAGAAAACGGAGAAAAGGGGAAGAAGAGAAGTACCAAAAAGCAGCAAGACAATCCAATCGGACAAGTTCGCAAAACGTGACGAGCGATCATAGCTTTCAAGGAGGACCCAAGACAATGCAAATCAATGACAACAATATGAGAAGATACACTACAGCAATAGTTCCAATGAAAAATTCAAATACAATTAAACAACCTCAATCAATAATGTTAAATACAACACAATACAAAACAACTATACAACACAATTTAAATACAACTATTCAACGCAATACACTACAGCAACTCAACAACAACCTAAGCAACCTATTTACAAATCATCACAATGCGAAAAATCTCACAGCATTAGTTTTATCAATCTCCAAGAATAATATTCAAGCTACAGAACTTCAATCAAAATCAGATGCATTGGAAGTATAAACAGCTACCAATTGAGGTGCTAAGTGAAAACGTTGTCGTGTCCTCCCATGAAGGTATGAGCTGCAAGTGGTCTGACGCTTCTATCTTCGAAGAGAATTTCATAAATAAAGACTTGGGAGTAATTAACAAAGTCACATTGCACAGCTTTGTTGAAGAATTTTTCATTAGATCTTCTGATGTAATCTGGAATCGTCTCAAGTTTAAAGTCTCTGTGTAAAAGTTTATTGCGGATAAGGTAGTGTGAATCAGTAATAATGCGCAGAAATTTGTTTTGGACTACTTGTAATTGATGCAGTTGAGTTTCAGTGACCGTGTTCCAAGCAGGTGCAGCATAACAAAGTATCGGTCGAATTATTTCCTATCTTGTTCTTTTGCGGTTTTGCAGCTGAAGATGATGGTTCGGTAAAACCATCGAAACTAGTCCTGTGAAAATTTTGTGAATTAACGCTGATTTTTGTTGTTTGACTTCTGAATCAGTATCGGTCGAATGCAAGTGGTATATATATGTTTTTTGGTACGCAAGCTAAGATTTGAATATTTTCCAATGACCGAGAGAAATCTGCATATTATGCCCATGGCTTTGCTCTTGACACTATTAATGTGTCCGTGTATTTCTTTAAATGATATTTGATCGTTGCACTCAATAAAAACGGTGAACAATTACATCCAAATAGTACTCTGTTCATTTACAAAATTTTCAAGTCCTCACTGTCATTATCAGGATACCAGAGAAATTTTAAGTATTGCGTATCTTCCCTTGCTATCCCAATCATAAAAAACGCCTTTTCTATGTCACCGCAGAATCCAATTTTAAATTTTCGAAAGGCAAGAATGATATCCAAAATACTCGGATTTAGGC